GCAGGACATTCATAAAAAAAAAAAAATCTAAAGACCTTAAAGCTTTCGCACAAATTAACTCAAAATGGATCACAGACCTAAATGTAAAACACAAAACTGTAAAACTCTTAGAAGAAAATCTATGTGACCTTGGGTTTGGTGATGACTTTTTAGATACTCCATCAAAAGCATACTTCATCAAAGAAAAAATTGAAAAGTTGGACTTCATAATAATTAAGAATTTCGATTTGAAAAAGTCACTGTTAAGAGAATGAAAAGATAAGCCACAGACTGGGAAAAAATATTTGCAAAACACATCTGATAAAAGACTTGCATCCAAAATATACAAAGGACTCTTAAAACTCAATAAGAAATCAAATAACCCAATTAAAAAATAGGCAAAAATTAGGAACACCTTACCAAAGAAGATATACAGATGGCAAGTATATGAAAAGATGCTCAACATTATATATCATTAGGAAAATGCAAATTAAAACAATGCGATGCTACTCCACACTTATTAGAATGGTTAAAATCTAAAATACTGACAACCCCAAATGTTGTCAAGGATGTGGAACAGTAAGAACTCTCACTGCTGGTGGGAATGCAAAATGGTACAGACACTTTGAAAGACAGTTTGAGAGTGTTTTGAAAAGCCAAATATCATCTTACCATATAATCCAGCAATCACGCTCCTTGGTATTTACCCAAAGGAGTGAAAACTAATGTCCACACAAAACCTGCACACAAATTTTTATGGCAGCTTTATTCATAATTGCCAAAACCTGGAAACAACCAAGGGTCCTTCAGTAAGTGAATGGATAACTGTGCTATGTCTATACAGTGGAATACTCAACGGTAAGAACAAGCTTTCAAGCCATGGGAAGATATGGAGGAATCATATATGCATATTGCTGTGACGAAAGCTAATCTGAAAACGTTACATACTATATGATACCAACTACATGACATTTGAGAAAAGGGAATACAGTAGAGACAGTAAAAAGATCAGTGGTTGCTTAGGGTTTGGGGGGAGGAGGTAGGTATAGGCATAGCGCAGAGAAATTTTAGAGCCTAACTACTCTGCATAATATACTACAATGGTAGGTACATGACAAAAACCCATAGAACTGTTCAAAGGAAAATGAACCCTAATGTAAACCATGGACTTCAGTTAATAATAATGTGTCAATATTAGTTCATCAATTGTAAGAAATGTATCACACTAATCAAGATGTTAACAGGAAAAACTGCATACAGAAGTGAAGGGACAGTAGGTCTGTTCTGTCTCATTTTTCTGTAAACCTAGGAATGCTCTAAAAATTAAATCTATTAAGAGTAGGGTGAGTAAAATGTTTAACACAAAAGTGTGACTCACTAGTTATGGAATATCGGTAGATGTTTTGGAATAAGCAATCCTCCCAACATCTCTCATTTGTATGATAGAGAAGCGAGCATTCCTCCTGCTGGTGATATGGCCTTCCTGATTACTACAAAGGAATTCTGCTTTATTCTTTCTTCTCCAGATCCATTCCTTTGTCCACTCCTGCCCAAGACTCCTTGATGGACAAATATTAGCACTGAGTCTTAAACCCTTATACATTTCGCTGCACCCTTTGCTGTTTGCACATAAAAGGAAATCAGCTGCCCTTAAAATAGGAAGATTATCCTGGATTATCTGAGTGGGATGTAATCACAGGGGCTCTTGAAAGAAGAAGGGAGAGGCAAAGGGATGGCAACATGAGAGACTTGGTCTTGCATTGCTGGCTCTGAAGAGAAGAATGGGACTGTGAGCCAAGGATTGTGAAAACCTCTAGAAGCTGTAAAAAGCAAAGAAACATATTTTCCCATAGAGCCTCCAGAAAGGAACGCAGTCTGGCCAACGCTTCGATTTTAGCCTGGTGAGACCCATTTTGAAGATAATAATTTGTGTTGTTATGAACTAATAAGTTCGTGGTAATTTGTTATAGAAGCAATAGGAAACGAATACAGATGGGGATTGTGGGGGAGAAATGACCAGAAAGGATTCTTGAAATGAAGGTGGAACTTATACAAAGAGAAAGCCAATGAGGAAGCAGGTTTGGAAAGTTTAATTATGAGCACAAAACAGGAGAAAGTCTAGTGAATGGTTTAGAGTCAGGCTTTGGAGTCCAAAAAGGTCTGGTTTCTATTATAGCTCTGCTTCTAGCAAGAGTTCCAACTTGGTCAAGATATTAACTCCCCTGTACCTCAATCTCTGCATGCAGTGAGGACACTAATAGCACCACTTCACAGCGTTACCAGATAAAGGACTAAATAGGATAATTTATGCAAGGTCCTTGTACTTAGTTGACATGTGCTCAGCTGTTGGATGGTAATGATGATATAGAAGTCATACTTCCTATGCATTGTTTTTAGTCACCATGGGCCATTAGACGACTACAGCCAATGATATAGAAGTCATACTTCCTATGCATTTTTAGTCACCATGGGCCATTAGACGACTACAGCCACTTATGACTAAATAATCAGTGTCAAAATAAAAAATATAAATTACCTTGCTTCCTGTTTAGAATGGATGACAGCTACACTATTTTTGTTTAATTATTCTCCAAATTTGCACGTATGTATGTATTCTCAAACTTGTTAGATGTAAATGCATACATGTGTTAAGTTGACATTGTGTTCTTTTCAGCCAGACCTTGGGCTTACCCTTACAAAACCTACACAGTTGGCCTAAAGCCTAATGACATTGCTATGCTCTAGGAGAGCTGGGATTGGGAAATAATTGTGTCCAATCCTGTGGCCTGGACCCACAGAAGGGCCAAAAGAGTAGTTTCAGAAGAGATTAACAAGACATCAAAGAGATGGAAGAAAATGGAACTTACCTAAACAGGACTTATTATCACTGTACCCCTCTTTCATTAAAAGATCCCCCCTCCTAGGGTGAACTGTTTTAAAGACCATGTCTTGTTGGAAATAGTTTTTTTTCCTTCCTGGGGCTAAGGACAGATATTTGTATTTCTCTGGATGCTTTTATATCGTAGTTGCTCATTAAACACAAAGTTTAATAAGACAAGCTGCCTGCTCTAAAAGAGTTCAGAGCCTAGTGGGAGACCAGCACCCAAACAACAATGGCATAAGTTTGTCTTAGGATGAGACTGAGCACTTCACATGAATTGTGGAGACACATGGAACACAGATGGTAGTATGACCAAAGACAATACTTCAGAGGTAACGGTAAACAAAAATGCCTCTAATAAAGAGGAAGTCTGTTTTCCAACTCTGACTCTCTACTACCTTGTTTTACTTCACTCTATTCTACAAAAAGTATATGAAATATAACCAACAACCAATTAGAACCCAAGATTGTAGAATAATACTGTTTTTCAAGTCTGGGTAGAGAACTCTTAATGACAGACCCCTAGACTATTTCCAATTTTTGGTTATTGCAAATTAAACTGCTGTAAATATTCACCTACAAGTTTCTATTTAGGCATATATCAATCAAACATCTAGAGTGGAATTTCCAGATTTATGGGTAGTTATGTTTAGTTTAAAACTTATTATTATGAGGGAGTCAATAGATTGTGAAGTGAGACTGCGTTTAAAACAGTTTCACTAAAATAAAAAGATTTTTCTTTTTGTGATCACACTGAATTTTTGTCAGGAACAGCAGTTTTATTTAAACATTTTAGAAATCTTTTATCGTAATTTCAGTCTTCAAAGTAGAATCTCTCTTAAGTCAAGGAGCGTGTCTTAACTGACATGATGTTAGAGTGCTATTCATGTGTGAAGTGTTTGCTCTACTGGATCCACATTCTGCCATTTTGTCCATTAGTAGCAACATATTTCACGCTTCTTTTTAACTGAGTCCTCTGCATTTCTACATAGAATTGGTTGTTTGGTTGGGGATTTGGCATAAAAAGAAGCTCAAACTATTAGCAAAATCACTGGGATGTACCCTACTGAAAGCTCTCCATTGACTCCCACATCAAAACATTTTTTTAAACCAGATCAAAAATAAGTATATCTTTCATTCTGAACGAAAAAACTCTTCACTAAATCACCTTAGAAATATTCCAGGATTTTATCCACTCCTTTTATTTCTAAGACATTTGCTTGAAATGCAGTCTGTGATGCATGATTTTCAAAGTACTCCTTCTGTTAACTGAATTAGATGCCTCATTGAAGACTCTGACAGAGCAATGCCAAGTTAGTTGGACTGGAAACAAATACTGCTAATCCGAATAGTAACCAACTTCCTAGAGACATGGAGGCTACAGCCCATATGTCAGAACAAGGACCCAGCATGCCATCCACAGGGCATCTCTGGGCCTAGGCTGGCAAACCACCACCGTCAAGATGTCAAGATCCTGCACAGTATAACCTTTTAACAAGGTCACATCTGTATATGTTGCAGTAATATTTCGACCTTTGATTAGAAGGGGGGAAATAAAAACAAGATTTGACTTTCCAGCCCAACTTTTCAGCAATACGAAAAAGTGAAACCAGATTTGTCTGTTAGAAAAGTAGAAAGGACACTCTTGATATAAATAGGGATTTTAGAAATTCAAAGGAAGGACATAGCACTATAGGTTTAAAAGGATACAGGCATGCCTTTGTATTTACGGCAGCTGTCGTCAGAAAATCTCAGTGCCCTTCATGGAAAGGCCAGGAGAAAACGCTTTTTAGTAACTGAAAAGAAACTGTAAGACAATCTGAAAGCAGAAGTTTCCATGTTCTAGACAAAGATTCTCTTGGGTATTTATCGAGCATGTTTACCTAAAAGTCAAGTCACTGAGAATTCAAGAGAGTCTGAAATTTCAAATACATTCTTATATTAACATCAGGTAGTTAGAAGACATAAATCTTTTTATAAAAAATTTATTTCTCTGTAAATACAAATTCCAACATCAACAAACAAAGTCCAGTGGAAAAATACTTAGCCATTAACATTGAAAACTTTTTTAAACTTAATAAATAGAACTTTGGCATTCAAAATTCTAGCTGTAAACCGCATTAAAAAACAAAAAGAAAAAAACCACCTCTTTTCAAAAAAAGAGGCAAGAATGATAGATCAGAAGGCATAAGCCAACCAGTGGCTTCACATTCTTTTTACAATAACTGTATTTCAATTAAGTCATGACTGCTGTATTTACACGAGGTATTTTGGGTGGTTCAAAAAGTGAACCTAGTTTACAAAAACCACCAGTCATAGTGACTGATTACACACTCTTCTGTGCTTTTAATGAAACCACCTAGCACCTTACTGCATCTTGTCATCACATCAATGTGATGCTGAATTTTATGCTTATGTATTTAAATAACTATTTATACATATATGTACACACATATACAAACATGACATTCCAAAGGAGTTTCCTGCTCGCTACACAGGGAAAAGGTTGGGCTCCAAAGACATATATCTGATACCTCCTCTCATGTTTACTATCTATTTACCTAGTAATGAAAAACTGCGCCTTGCTTTAAAAAAATCCTTAATCAGTCTATTTACAGAAAAACAAGGTGCAATAATCATCAACATTCTTATAACTCATTTAAACAGAAATGAATGCTTACTGCAGGCAAAAAGGCACAAAGGTTCTCTCTGTATGCAGCTCCAATGGTGTTGTTAATGACTTATGGATTTGAAACTACATTCTTAATATACTCAACACTTCTTTAAATAAGAAAAAAATCCAAAAATCCAAAATCGTTCCCCCTTCATGATTAAATGTGTAATACTATATCATACAGCAATATAACACCATAGCATTTTGGGGTGAATTAGAAATTATACTCTTTATACCAAACAATTAATAGTTTTTCTTGTTTTGTGAACATTGAAAAGAATTGTTAAAAATGAAAATGAAATGAAGTAACTTTGGCTCTGAGAGCTATAGCTACTGGCAGTTTTAAATGATATGGTCTGAGTGAGCATGGTTATAAGAATTGCTTATTACCATAATTACATATCTACAATGGTAGAAATCTACACAAAAGAATGTCAATAATCCAAATGAAAGGTATGACTGAGGTGAATTATTTAAAAATACAGTCCAAGTTCTCAGCTGCTATTTATTCAATGAACTATTACTGATATGAAAGAATGTTTTCCAAATAAAGTAGTTCCTTTAAAAATATCCTCTGAGATTAAGTATTCAACTATGACAAAATTAATTTATAAGCTTATTAAGTCAGTAATGTACAATATTCATTTTAGCAACACTTTCCAGCCCTTGAGATTGTCTCTTAACAAGCTATTGAAAAAAAATCTGATTCAGTTTAAAAACTGTCATAACCAAATAAATTTCACTGAAATATAATACTGTTAACATTAAATACTGAATCATATTTCAAATATAAGAAAGGACCACATTAATTAAAAGAAAAATTCAAGAATGACTTACCTAGTTAATACTTAAGCTTTTTAAAATTAGAGGCCACTGAAAATTTATTAACAGTTTAAGTAAAATCCTTTTTTTCTGATACCAAATGAAAAAACAACCATTGTGCCTTTGATCTGCACAGGTAATCTAGGTCTCTTATTATAAGAGACAAAATAAGCTCAATGTCAAAACTCAGAAGACTAATAATAAATATTAATACTGCCTATGAAACTTCCTTAGAAGACAAGCATTTAATTCACAAAAGAATAATTTAAAAGTTTTCATAACTAAGGAGATTTTCAAATAGATTTACTTTAAAATTAAGTTTTCATCTCAGATCTATACCACTGTAATAACTTCTAAGAATACCTCAGTTCATTTGTTTCAAACTAACACAGAGGTTGTCTTGGGAGAGAATTTTCCGAAAAATAAAACTCAAAATTAAATATTGATGAATTTGAATACTACTAGTTTGATTTCCCAAAAATACCCTTCAAGGCTGTCTACTTATCTAGATCCCTTCACAAACTCCAAACTCCCAAAAGATTACATTTTGTAATTCAAGGTTGTACTTAAACTATCACATCTTAATTTCCTTTCTTATGGAGCATATATTTTGGAAAATGAACTATATCAGCAATAGTTTGTTAATTTCCTATTAAGTTAAAAAAATTTACCTTAAGATATGTGAATTAAGCCAAATTCTGTAACTTTCAGAACACTTATTTTTAAAAACAAAATATTTTATCCCAACAAAGTTACAAAACAAAAATATATCTACAGTAGATGAATACAAATGACCAAGTCTGTTTAAAACAAAATAACCATAAAACCCCAAAACATATACTAAAAACCTAAGAGTAAGAACTTAGTGACCCAAATCAGTGATTTTTTTTTTGTCCATTAGTACTGTATTTTAGGGTGCTTTTATTTCCAAAATTGTGGAGGCTGGGCCTGGGAGGAGGGGACTTTATTCAAAGAGATATAAAAACGTGTGCTGCACCTGTGGCCTAACTCTTTTAGATGTTACTATCTAATTTATTATAAAGGGCTATTTTTAGATACTTTCATGAGGCAAAATTCTTCATATTAGCTTTTGGGTACAATTTATAAACAAATGATCACCTTAAAAATGAATACTCTGAAGGCAGTCTTTCCAAAACACCAATTAAAACAGGGAAATACTCATTTGGAAGTTTAATGACTGGATGACTACTTAAAACTCGGTTGCATTTCATAGTGATATCTTGTACTCCAGTAGAACTAACCTAACCTAACCAAATTTGTGTTCCATGAAAAATTCTGTTTTTAATGTACTTTACCTAATATAAAGAATTGAAATATCACCTGATTTAGATTTTGTTTTATGCTAGTGATAATTCAGATATAAAGAAGACAGGTTGGCTTTTTCTTAAAGTAGTTTCAACTTTAAAACAGATACAAAGCTGTTAAAATGTAAACAATTGAGATTTTGATAAATAAGCTATTGTTCCAGAGTCACTCTTTTAATCTTTCTTTCACAATAATGAAAGGAGACCTTAGAAGGTTTGCATGAATTATATATGGCTTTGTTTACATTAATACATATACATATATCTACATGTAAAACGTAAGTAAAAAAACTCTAAGTAGCAACAGACGTGTTAAAATTAGTTGAAATTATGTTAACTGCCTTGTAATATATAAATTACTAGGCTAGTGAAAAAGATCATCACATCAAAATTTCACACCTCTAAGGCAATCCACAATCACTCTGGAAAAATAGCTGACTTATCTACAGTACTAACACCAACCCGACCCACAATCGCATAATCTCAGTACACTGGTCGTTCAAAATGTAATGGTTTTGCCTTGTGCACTCCTACTAGAATACTGCTACTGCCTGCTGCTGGAACTCTTGTTTAGCCAGCCTTTGAAAACCCAAAAGTACAATACAAGCTTCTACATGAAAAAAAAAAAAAAAAGAAATATAAGAATAAAAAGTGTATGCCTTTTTCAGAAGCTTTGTTTTGACCCTAGAAATCCTTGTAATTTTGTAAATAAACACAAATGCGTGCTCACGCATGCGCGCGCACACACACACAACAGGATAAAAAGAAATCCTATCCTCTTTATCTGAAGGGCACTCTTCACAGCTTGGTCCTACAATCAGTAGTTTGAGAATACAGAATTTCTTTTTCTTATAAACTTTATCACATCTTCAAATGGTAATCTGATTTTTGTCCTGATTAGCTAAGCCCCTTCCAGATCGCCTTACATCCCTTTCCCTCCCCAAAAAACAAAACAAAACCCACAGAAAAAAATCCTATGTACAAGTCATGTGTCACTTGCAACTTTCCGATATGGCTCCTAAAAAGAAAGATGAAGAAATGTAACACAGCAGCATCTAACAAGGGGTCATTATTGCTGTGGAACCAACACTTGATTACTGCGTAATACAGTTGTCTCCCATGTCCTGAGCGTAGCGGTCTGATATTGTAGTCCTTAACTCATCGATGTCCCTCCGTAACTGGCATACATCTGACAGTTTTTTAGTGAGTGTTTCTGGGCTGTGGTCATTCTCAGTCTCTTCAGCTGAACAGTTCAGTGCTGCAGAAATAAAATACGGAGAAAAAGTCTCATGTTTTTGTTTTTTTTTTTTGACAAAGGCAATTTTAGGATTTTCAATTTAATTATCATTGGTAACATAATGCTGTACACTGAATACCAGTTAGGCTCAGTTTTAAATTATGCATCATTCAATATTAAATAGATCTTATCTACCTGGTCCTGTTAAAATTTTGCTAATTAAAATGCATTAAATTCATATAGTAACACATAGAAATTTAACAGGTTTGACAGATGACAATATTCCTAAAATACAAAAGAACATCCTCTAATAACTTTACTTGAGCTCAACCAGAGCACTTAGTTCTTCCCATTTGACAAATCATTTGTGTGGTGAGAGGTGATACCTTATATTTTTATAGACTGAAAAGTGGGTTTATTGACACGAAAACATAAAGTATATATATACACATATATATGTGTGTGTGTATGGGGGAGGGGGGAGAGAGAAGAGAGGAGAGAGAGGGAGAGGGAAAGGGAGAGAATTAGGCTGATAGCTAGGTGCTCAATGGTTGAATAACTGAATGAGGCCCTGAGATAGATAGCTTTTACTTACTCCAGGTTCCTCTCTTTGTCAGCATATCTCAACATAAAAGCAGGTGGAGCCAGTGATTGTAAAATAAATCTTTCTTTATACTATAACTTCATTGACCCTGGTAGCTTATTGGAGCCAAAAGAGTCAGATAACTTATTTTAACAAACGCTAATTGAACACCTGCCATAATCCAAGCACTATGCTAGATGTTAATGTAAGTAAACATAATGGAGACAGTGGCTAACTCAATAATTTACATACACTTTCATAAAAAAATAAGCATAGTCAGGTACTGTTGATGACTGACTACTACACACAGGCTACAGAGACATAAGAGAACAACCAGGCCTAACTGGAGAGGGGACAGGTTTAGTGGATGGGCCAAGAAGGCAGACTGAACGAAGGTATAAAAGGAGAAGATCAAATAGTCTGATAGAATTTGAGAAACTTCAAGAAAATTGGTAACCAGCTCTAAAATGATAGAGCACAAATTATGAAAGAGGAGCGTGCCAAGAAATAAGGCTTGAGAGGCCGGTGTGAGCTATCTATCTCTACTTTAGGGAAGTGTATGTATTAGGAAATCAGAAATCATAGTTTCAACAAATCACTCTGGCAGCAATGTGAAAAACAGAGTAGGGGTGGCGGGGAGGGGTGGGCAAGATGGCTGACAGAGAGACTAGTCCAGAGGAAAGCTTGAATTAAGGCAACAGTGCAATGGAGATATAATAGTAGGAATAAATTTTAGAATTAGAAAAGAACTGATAGAAATGATAGAGCCCAATCATCATTAACTTGCATAGGGGCCAGGGAATGGGCATGAGACACACAGCAGATAGAAAAGGATAAAACCTGGGTTGGGGTGATAGGTGGTGCTACTCACTGAGAGGAATAGTAGGTTTACGGAGGGTAGAAAAATAGGTTCTGTTTTGGACTTGTTGAGTCTGTGATGCCTATGAAACACCTGGTTCTAATATACAAGTCAATATAAATGGGAACCCAGAAGGAACGTTCTAGGCAAAATAAGAGACAAACGTCTGTATGGGTCAAAGTTACAGCAATAACAGAACACAACAGGATGTGGATAAGATTACTCAGAGAAAGTACATAAAAAGAGAAACAAAAAAACAAAAACAAAAGGTTTCTGGAGGACACCAATATTTAAGTGGCAGAGAATTCCATAGAAGACTGTGAGCAGTCAGTCATAAAGGCAGAAGTCGAACCTAGAGAGCGCTGCCATGGAAACCATGGTAGCAGAGAGTTTTAAGAAGGATGGGTGAACAGTATCAACTGATAATCCATGGAGTGATGAGACAGGATTCAAAAGAATTCACTGGTTTTTGACAAATTAGCTGGCTGGTCTAATTTTTACAATGCCAAACTATAAGGCAAGAATTCTGGGGCTAAACTTTAAGGACTGAAAGAAGTATATATTGAGAGGCAAATGCGGCAAAGTTCTTAAATCTCCCTTTTTTCATATTAGAATAGCACTCATCCTATTACTGAAAAAGTTAACAAAATACTATATAAAAGAGTGCAAATGTAGGTTACAAAATAATTTAAAGAGTGACTATCACGAAAATGGCAGAGAAAATGAGTCTTCTGAGAGTGAACTTTTGTTTCTTGTTCAAAGAGATCACTGCTACTAAACCACCCCATGTTCACCTGGCAAACTTCTTTCTCTTCCTCCATGGAGCCTTCATAGCCCTTGCCAAGTGGATTTGTTTTCTTTTTCCCTTGTGCTGCTATAGTCTCTGTCCACATCTCAATTACAGTACTTATCGCAATGCTCTAATAATTTGGTTAATGTGTGAACAAGGGCTCTGTTCAAATTATCTGCAACATTAGCACCTTAATGTGTGGCTTACAGAAGACATTTAACAAATATGTACTGACTGAGTGAATACACTTAAACTTTAAAGTGTTTTTTGCACACCCACAATCATATTTGTGAACGAACATCTATAAAGTGGAGGGGGAAATTCTGCAAACATCTCTGAGCACAGTTAAGTGTTTCATTAATAAGTGATACACTTTGATCAAGAGCCCTGTATATTTGGTTTGCCAAAACAACTATTATGATGCAAGATGGTGGACTCTTTTTGATAAAACTGAAAACAAAACTAGTCCCCACTCAAAAAAAAAAAAAAATTATAGCATTTGTACTTCATACTTTAGTTTAGTATATTATATATTAAATTTAATTTCTGGAGTTGGATACACAAACTGAGAGTTAATGAGACAATAATACTGATTTTCTCATCTACAAATGTGAAAATTTGCAATAAAAAAAACTATTCCAGTCACATATTTACTATATTTTTAGGTAATTACTCAAGATAACAAGTAGGTGTATAAAGCTTATGGTCTTACTTCAATCATATCTCCTAACTCAAGAACCAACATGTCAATATTATAATAATTTAGAGCCATATGCAGAGATGAAGGTTCCTGCACAGTAGCACAGAAAGAAAGGGACGTCAGGATATTCCTGCAGCAGCTCTTATGACTATGTGCAGGTAAAACTAAGGCAAAATGGGTGAGTGTGACATTAAAAGGGACAAAGCCAGCAGGTATGCATGACAAGAGCAACAGATCTGTAGGCCACGGAAATTGGTTCATGTGACAGCACTGGCATTTACATTAAGCAACTGCCACAGAACATACACTACATAGGAAAGCAAGTGACTGTTATTTCTCCAATATTTTACCAGTGGACAGATGGCTGGGTCACTCATTTATACAATCACCACATGAAAGCAAATAGAATTTTTATATTTAGAAGAGTAATCAGGAAATCACACCTAACTATTATCACTCCAGTCACATATTAACAGATTCAGCATAGCTCATCCACACAGGTAGATCTGCAGGCATTCTAGCAAGTGGCATTCCATACCAACTATGACCCTGCTCACTTCTATAAGTATGAAGTAAGTTCTAGCAATGAAGTAATAACAATATGTAGACCCAGACTGATTCAGAGATTTATAAATCTAAGTAGGAAAGAGATTTATAAATCTGAGGAAATTAAAACTAAATAGGGAAAACACAGTCAGAAGTTCCTGATTCATGAAGGCAAGTTTCTAATTGTTAATACTGTAAGAACAAGTCATTAGCCACTTACATCTGATTCCCAGTAATAATGAAAGATTAGGCTCCTTGCCCTGAGCACGCTGATTAAGGATACTACACAATGCCTTCAAGTCAAACAAACAATAGGACATTTCCTTGAACAGCTGATCAATCACACTCAAATCAAATAGTGGCCTTTTGGAAAGAACTGTTTGCTGCCTGGATTGGTCTGCTTCCTGGCCCTGATCCAATAAAGAGCATGTCTCTTCTGTTTGTCTTTGGTTCTGCAATGGATAAAAAAAACAAAAATCTGGTGGTCAGAACACAGGAAAGGTACTCAAAAGCCATACAGGTTAATATTTTTCCCCAAGTCTGTAGTAGAATTATATTACATGCATATTAACCAAATTTAACTGCATACATACAATAGGAAAAAAAAAAGAGAACAATAATTTAAATAGTAGAAATGGTTCTTCTGTACCATCTGTACCATTACATATACAGTAAATCTGAGAGAGGAAACATAAATCCAAATAGTCTTAGTTTCTAGGAGTGTCCAATGCTCACGCATAATGAGTATCTTGGTTGAGTATGTATTTTTCTATAACAAGATTTATTCTAAGAATAAAAAGAACTACAATAAAACTTTAAACTTCATCCTGTAGTTAGCAGCAATAGTGATTTAGTTACTTTGAGACTATTTTTTGTATATTGAAAAATAAGTATACATGTTATGTTAATAGTAATCAAAATTTTCAGTGTAAGAGAAAAAGAGATACAAGTAAACAATCAAAAGAGGAAAAAAAAATACCCTGAACAACTCTGAATTGTTAAATCTGAATTGGAAGCATCGATGTGAATTCATGATTTATTACATCTTAAAAGTTATCCTCACTTCATCCCCAAAACTGTCACCATCTATTCCTCATCCTGAAAACTGCTAATGAAAGGCAAGTTTAACTAGCTTCCCAGTTAGGACTGCATTTCAGAATAACCAAATAGCCTATGTTGATGAGGAAAATATATGTTTTTTAAATAAATGAATATCAGCTGGTAAATGTAAGAATAATGATGTAATTAGAAAAAGATACCATTCTTTCAATCATTTAATGATTCAGACAATGCTCACTGGCAGGTATTCAAACCCTCAAGAGAAAAGGTGCTAGAGTAAACTGCATAGTCATTCAACAGTTGCTCAACTATCACTCCACAGATTACCTGCTGTTTGCAGAGGCTCTAATGCTACAATGAAAAATATATCAGTCTGTTACCACCTTAAGCCAGTGAGGTCCGTATTTATGTCACTTACAGTGGGATAACCAAACATATATAATTTGATGGTGTGAAGAACACCTACAAAGTACTCATGTCAAAAAATGTTTGACCTGAATCTTATGATATCTTTAGCTCTAACTTCTAGCTTACAAGAAATAGAACAGGTAGAGAACAAGATAAATGACACCAGGAGGAAACAATCAGACAAATCTAGAAGGTCTGACAAGTCACTAACATATAGGAGAAGATGGGGATCTTAGATTACAATACAAAATGAAATACAACTCATGGTCCTTAATGAATTCTGGTTTCAAGTCACTACAAAAAAGATTTGTGAAGGGGGGAATTTTTAATATACACTAGGTTATTATCAAATATCAAGGAATATTATTCTTATTGGAAATGATAATGATGACATGGTTATGTAGGAAAATGTCCCTAATTTTTGGAAATGCATTCTGAAGTATTTAAGAGGCAAAATGGCATTAAGATAGTTAAAAAAACCAAAACAAAACAGTATTATTTGTATAACAAGTCCTTAAATGCAAGCCAAGTATTTCATCTCACAATTAAATGAAGAAAGTGTGATCGACCCCAAAGACTGTGTCAACTCTGCACCTTCCTTAAGTATTTTCAAGGGTAATTATATTCAATTTATGCCTCATTCAATGGTTTTGGTACCTAATCTCTATCTAACATTTGATTTTGCTGTAGTAGAGTTTATGAAATTGTATTCTAACATATAAAAAAATATATTTGTCTTTATTATAATTTTAGTAATAAATCTAATGGATTTAATTAACTGGCACATCAAAATCAAGTCTTCAATTAAAAATGTTATATGAAAATGTACAAATAAGCATTTGCTTTAACTTAAATAGGTACTAGATCATCCTTTGAAAGTAATTTGAATTTCTTTTACTCACGTCAAGCAATGTTTCTGTTAATCGCTGTAGGTTTCTTTCTTTCTTTTCCAGCTCTTCCATCATCTTTTGAGTGGTCAGTTTTTCTTTAGACAGTTTCCCTTGCATAGACTAGAATAAAGAGAATTATGAAGTAAACCATGTCAATGCTGAAAACAAAATGCAATCAGGTAGGTAACCAGGAATACTGGCTTTGAATACTTTAGATTTAACCTCCCCAGCCCCTTAGAAGATGAAGTGTTCATGTTTAAATCAACCCACACCCGCATTACTTCTAGAATATATGACTACAAAGAAGAAAAAAATCCTAATACTATCTTTACCAAGAAAGTTTTTAAGCTAGGTAAAACATGTTAAATCTAAAGTTGCTGTTTCATGCTGTATTACAAACTAATTTTATTAATTAATTTTTGTTTACATGTTGGGAGTGTATTAGCAAATCTAGACTTTTTAAAAACATTTTTCTTATGATTAATAACATACAAGATAATAAAATCTTAAGACCATAAAACCATCCCTATTTTCTATCATTTGAAACACAGCTAAATATTCCTTTATCAGTGTATAGTATTCTAAGTGACTAAAATGTTAAATTCAGGGCTAAGACCTATTATAGGACTTTGATAAACTAATCTCTTAACTCCATTATATTATTACAACTTACCCAGACACAATACTATTGTAAGAAAATCTTGAGAATGCCAAAGTAGCATATAGGATATTTTAAGAGTACTTAAGTCATTTCAGCTTACGTCTGATTTTCAGCTACACACCAAAGAAAAAACTTGCCATAAACCTGTAGTTACCAGTGATTTCTAGGTATTTCTATCAACATCTTTCTTCTTGTTAAACTACAAGATCAATAAACATATGACTAGAAAAATGACTTCATTTTTTTCCCCTCAGGACTGTATTTAGTCTCAATTCTGAAAATACTTCAGAATACTGACCACCTAAATAGCACACGATCCACTATTAAGTTTTTTTCCCCCTCATGTTATCTCTGGATGGAATAAGAGGATAACTGTCACCATAAGTTGAGGTAAGACTCTGTATGTATAAAACAGTTCTCAACAACAAATATTCAACTTTGTTGCTTTTTACTTTGATTTGCTAAATTACATTTTTTAACTCAAAAGTTGAATACAAAGGAATTAAGCTCTATAGTAACTACACTTCCTTCTAGGGAAAATTTGTTTTATATTTCACAAAAATGAATCTCACAGCACCAAGTCACATGGGTTCTCAGTACTGTATCTTTGGATACTGAAATTCCTTTGTAACTCCATTTGATTGAATCAAATCTTATTTGATTGAATGATATATGGGGATATATTTACCTAGCTAAAGATCAATGCTTACTGTCATGACAAGAATATTGGGCTATCATTCAGAATTCATCCTAAATTTGTTTAAGATTTGTGACTATGTTATTAGAATTGTTAAAAAAAAAAAAAGGCACCACAGATAAACTACTCTAAATCTCACATTTTAACAATGAAAACTGAACCCAAAAGGTATTTTCATAATGCTGTAATATAATTCTTTAAAAGATTACAGTGTTTTATATTTTTACCAATTCAAAGTCATGTTGACTGTGACTAATAATTAGCTATTCTAATTAGCATGTTCCTATGTAAGACTAAATTTTAATCAGTGAAGAAATAATCTCCATCAGAATAAATCAGAAATGTCTGGCAATAGTGCTGTTTGTCATAAGAAGGAAAATTGAATTTGTAAATATATCAAGCTTAGCATGTTATGTTGGTTAAGTTTAAGGGCATTTATCAAGCAGCCCTTTAGTAGGGGAAAGAATTTACAGATATGCTTATCCTAAAAAAACCAAATGCTCTACAATTTCTAGGATAATACTAGGTATGAGTGCTATAGCTGTCTGATAATAACATTTCACCTAAAAGATTAATTAATTCTCTATCCTAAATTGTATGAAAAAGCATATGGTTAAAGTTTAAGAAAAAAGGGGAGAAAGAAAAATTTCTACTAAGCTTAGAATGGGATTACTGAAATTAAAAACTTACATTTTCAAGTTTTTAATTTCTACAATTTCTCTTAAAATTTCCAGTTTAATAATTTTTTAATTCTAAGTTACTAACTTATAGGTATTTATCATAATCATTCTTAAAGTTGAAAATGGTTTTAAGCACATTTATTGTTTTGATGTAAATTTTAACCCTTTGCCCCATACACAAATAGCTCAAATAAAGGAAAACCGGATGTGCCTTAATAAAAATTCTATATACTCCACAAACACAATTTTAGAAGAAATATTTTTAAAAAACATATGTTAGCAGTTTTACTATAAACACACACACACACATGGAGAAATATATGCAAACACACATGCCATACAGGAGTTTCACAAACACAGTTCACAAACATGCATTCATTCATTCTACAAAAATTATAGCCAAGCACTATCTGTGCACTGAATGATATATCAGTGAATAAAATACTGAAAACTCTTGGTCCCTGTATAACTTTTGCTAGGAAGAAAAAGACCAAAGAAAATAAACATAATAAATATATAAGTTACATAGTATTATACATCAGAATTTAACAGTGCTTGGAGAACAAACAGAGCTCATGAGAGGAGGTTGAAATCTCAAATGAGGTAGAGTAAGGGTTCATGGAAAAGGTGACAACTGAGCAAAGGTTTGAAGTAGGTAAAAGACAGTCTCATGGCTATCCAGAGAGTATATTTCAGTCAGTGCAAAGGTTCTGAGGCAGACAGTGTCTTCTGTGTTTGAGAAAAGAGAGTCAGGGTGGCAAAAAAATAGTAAAAGATAAAGTCAGAGAGGAAGGCAGTGTGGGGAACAGATTGTGTAAGGCCTTGTAAGCCAATGGAATAACTCTGATTTTTACTCTGGAGAAAATGAGGAACCAGTGAAGAATTTGGGGAAAAATATAATGTGATCTGCTTCTGTTTATAGGTCACTCGGGTTGATGAGAACAGACCGTAGGCAAGCAAGGGTGGAAGCAGGAAGAAATACTCCAGATAAAGAATGAAGATAGCTTGGACAAGGGTGACAACAATAGATGTTGGGAGAAGGGACCCAGAAGCTAGATATATTTGGAAAGTAATGGGATTTGCTCCCAAATGTGAAGTGGGGGAGAAGTCAAGGATAAGTCTAAGGTTTTCAGACTGAGCAAATGGAAGGTCAGATTTGCCATTAATCATGATGGTAAATATGGAAGGTATAGCAGGGTTTATTATTTTTCGGTTGAGGGAAATAAGAAATTCAGTTATGTCAAATGGTGATATCAAGTAGGCAATCGGATACACAAATTGTAAGGTAAGGGGAGAATTTTTAGCTGGAGATAAAAATTAGGATGTAGTAAGCATACATATTATATTTAAAGCCATGAGAAGCACAGATAGAGAATGGAAGGAAAGAAACCCCCCTTTTGAAATATGATACAATATTTTCAAAAATAATTTACATCTTTAAAATGATCCTTAACATAAACATCACAAATGAAACTAAACTTATCCCTAAGTTATAAAATGGAAAATTTTGTCTAATTTTTATATACTAGTCTACACACTTACCTATTTTTATTATAATAGGATTTATGCTACAGGTTTTTAATTTATTGTGTCTAGTTAAATAAATCAGACAACAACAACAAAAAAACCTTAAAAAGCAAGTTCCTCTGAGATTTTTTTGGTTGAAATTTGTAAATATTTAACATTGCTATGATTTGACTAACACGAGCACACTATTTTTGCAATAGTGTATGTATCTATACATAAAAGGTAAGGTAATAGTGTTACTATCTTAAGAAATAGCAATTAATAAGCAGCATGTATACTTAACAAGGTAAGATAATAATGGTATCTAGAAAGCATTAATAAGGAAGAATGCATTCTCTGAATGATATTTAATATTTTCTCTCAACACCTTTAAAAAAAACTAGTCAAAAGAAAGTTTATCTACTATATGAGGCCATTCTTTTAAGACTGGGAGAGGTGGCTCTTTTATCTAATGCATAGAAACCAACAAAAGCAAAAATAGCTAAACAATTTGATGAAAAAATGAGCTGAGGTTATAAACAAACATTTTTCAAAAACAACATAAAGATGGTCAACAGATACACAAAAAGATGCTCAACATCCCGAATCACTGGAAAAGCAAACCAAAAACCACAATGAGATTATCACTTCATATCTGTTAGGATGGCTAGTATCAAAAAGATAAGAGATAATAAATGTTGGCAGGGATGTGGAGAAAAGGGAATCCATGTGCTCTGTTGGTAGAAATGTAAATTAGTGCAGCCACTATTGAAAACAATATGGAGGTTCCTCAAAAAATTAAAAATTGAACTATCATATGATCTAATAATTCCTTTTCTATTTACCCGAAGGAAACAAAAACAGTATCCCAAAATGATATATGTACCTCCAAGTTCACTGCAGCATTATTTACAACAGTGAAGACATGAAAACAACCTAAGTGTCCATGATGGATGAATAGATAATATGGTATATCTAAAATGGAATATTATTCAGCCATAAAAAAAAGAAAGCTTGCCATTTTTGACAACATAGATAGACCTAGAGGGCATTTTGCTAAGTGAGATACTTATCCCAGATACCAGCGAACAGACTGGTTGCCAGAGGCAGAGGGCGGCAGCGGGTGGGTGTGCGGGTAATGTGTGTGTGAAATTGGTGAAGGGGATAAGAAGTATAAACTTCAAGTCATAAAATAAGTCCTGGGGATATAATGTAAAACATGGTGACTATAGTTAATAATATTGTATTGTATATTTGAAAGTTGCTAAAAGTAAATTTTAAAAGTTCTCCTCATAAGAAAAAATCTGTAACTATGTGGTGATGAATGTAAACTAGAGTTATTGTGGTGATCATTTAACAATATATAAAAATAACAAATCATTATGTTTTATACTTAAAACTAATATAATGTCATATGTCAATTATATCTCAATAACAAACAAGTGTGGGGAAAAAAAAAAAGTAGAGTTAATGGTAACAGAATAAGATTTTAGAGTCAGATAAAACTAGGTTCTGAGTCTACAGCTTATATGCTATGCAATCACAGATAAGTTCTTCAACCTTTCCAGGCTTTAAA